GAATAGAAACCGTTGGACTTTTTCACAAGACTGGAGTTTTTGGAAATTCGCAGTAGTTTTTCGAAAAAACGAAAATTGGAGAAGTTTATGGGTTTTTCCAAAATGCCTTTTTTGGGTTTTTGTTAAGAAACCGTTGGTGATGGGATTTTCAAACGTCGGCACTGAGTGGCTTTTGAGCGAGCGGATGTTTTTTGAAGAATACAGTTTTCCGATTGGAGGCTTTGGTTTTGCAAAAAAAAGTTAAAATGTGAAATGCAAAAATTTTTTGAAAATCGATTTTTTTTCAAAAACCCTTGATGATGGGATTTTGAAAACATTTCATGGAGAATACAGTTTCTCGACCAGGAGCTAAGTTTCCAAAAAAGTGAATTTGGTCGGGCTGCCACTGCACTGTTGCCGGTTTCAGGGAAAAATCGTCAAGAGCGCAGCTGGAAAAGGAGCACTACCAGCGCGAACGTGACCGCTACTACCGCGAAAAGCAGCAGCTGCAGCTGCCGCAGCCCTACAAGCAAGTCAACTATGCGGAGCAGCCGTTTGGCGGCGAAAGAGTGTTTGTGGAGCGGAAGATCGAAGAGGTGCGAGTGCGGCATGAGCGCAAGCACAAGGAGGACAAATCCAAAGAGGTAACGGCAACGTGGCATTTTTTGGGGGAATCTGGGGGAAATTTGGGTGTTTTTTCTGTTTTCAGGGGAGCCGAAGCCACAGCAAAGAGGGCCTGGAGAGGCACAAGCGCGAGCGCCCCGATGAGGAGAAGCGAGCGAGTAAAACGCTGGCTGACTTGAGGGAGCGGTGAGTTTTCGCAGCGATTTTATTTTTCTTTTGCGCACCCTGTAAATGCGTCCGCGCTGTGCGTCTTCTGGGAATTTAATTTTTTAAGTTTTCTGTTGTTGCCCTTTCTAGACTTACAACCGAATTGAGGTTTGTATTGAATTACGAAAATGAAAATACATTTTTGTGACATGATTTGTGTGATTGCGCCTGCGCAATAATTTGCAAACACCCTGTAGATTTTTCAAGTTTTTTTCGTTTTTTTTT